ACGACGCTTTTCGATGGGAACGGTGACGTCCACTATCACGTGGTACGTCTTGTGGGACGACGTCGTCACCAGGGTCAAACCCATTATCTGGCGAATTGGCGGGGATATCCCGACTCCAAAAACTCGTGGGAATTTGTGGCGCCACTTCGTCAGGAATACCCAGTCGCCGTGGACGCTTTTGATCGGAAAGATCAGGACGTCCCGCAACATCAGATGCCCCGGCGCTTCCCGGCAATAGCCAGGGAAATAGTAGGGCCATGAGCTGAGCTCAAGCAGTGGGCCTTGAGCTCTTGCGGTCGCAGACACAGAGCTCGCGGGAGCGTTAGGGGATTACCCATACGCCGCAGGGCAACATTCCGAAGGAAGTCGACGGCGTGCCTTGAGTTTGGCAAAATCAAATCATAGGTGTCGCTCCACACGCACGTCCACTTCCTTGTGGCTCAACTGTAGGTTATACACTGAGGAAAGCTTTCGGTGCCGTTTCACCCATCGCTCAAAGAGCGCTTCGTCATCTATAGCGCTTTCGCCAGGGTCGAGTACTACAGGTATCGTCCGCATTGCGGGTACACGAGTGCCACCTCGTTGCGCACGTAGACGAGTGCGATTAGCTTCCAGCGGAAATTCTTGTGGAACCAAGAAGCGAGCTCAAATAGGATTCCGCTTGGTAAGTTCATCTTCCGTTCTGGCCAGGGGCCCGATGATGTGGACGCGTAACGATCAAGTTACCGCGTTCTTCGCTTCCACAGCTGGATTCGCTGGGCGGAAGCCATATCCCACGCGAGGGTCAAAGACCGGTGGTGGATGGGCGCGCATCGGAGCCGCCTTTTGGGCAGCCTCAAGCTGCCGCCTCTGAGCCCCGTCGAGGTCATTGGTAATTACACCACGTTCCTCGGTTAACGAGATGTCAGGGAACAGACATGGGGCCTGCAAGGCGCGAACAGGGCTCGTATTGCGCTGCTGGTGCAGCTCGCCTTCCTCGTCATCCCACGCGGGAAAAGGAGTGTCAGATTTGTAGTCGACCACCTCCACATCCTTAACGAGGTCACTCGTCATTGATAACGTGCGCAAAGCGCGACGATCATGCTCATCGAGCATAGGATGTACATCTCCCGGTGCTGCGGACGCACTGTCCGATGTTGCTCCGCGTGCGGGAAACGAAGTTGGGCTCTGCCCGTGCTCGCTGTCAGAACCAGCGAGACTTGGTGATTTTCGTGTCGTGGACACAGGGCTCATTGAGCAAGGAAGTTGTTAAATTGAGTTGCAGTGTCTTACGGACGCGCGAGCTTCGTTGAGGCAATAATCGATTGAAACTGTAAATGCTTTCAATCTTAATGGGGGAGGGGTAACGGTGTTACACGTACCCTGGTAACAGGGGTGTATGTCACACGAGATGTGCATGGTGTGACCACACCCAAACAAGAATA